GGGACCAGCGCATGTCATTGCCTCGCAACTTGCTTAACGTTTCAGAATCCAAGCGACATGCTGCACCATGCCAGATTCGCTGCCTGTTGGCTCCATGTGGACCGGCGGATTCTGCGGGCGTGTCTGATTCATTGATTCAAGTGGCTTACGCCTTTCCGACGACCCCCAGAAGGAGTGAGAGTGTGTCTCGATCTCGGGAGTTATCAAGTGGGTCAGGGATTTCTTCGATGCATCTGAGGGGCTCTTGGGGTGTCTCTCAGGGGCCTTTTGGAGGGCTCTTTGGGGCTTCTGGGTTGCTTGGAGGGGCCTCTTGGGGGCTTCTTGGGAGCCTCTTGGAGGCGTCTTGGGGTTTCTTGGGGGCGTCTCGGTGGCCTGTTTGGGCTCTTGAGGCCATTTGGGGGGAAAGGTTGTAAATGCCAGTTCTTCTCCCTTTGGCCCCTCTGCGAGCCCTCTTGGGGAGTCTTGGGTAGTCTTGGGGGCCCTTGGAGTGCCTCTTGGGCCGTCTTGGGGTTCTCTTGGAGGGTTCTGGGGCCGTCTTGGGTCGATTTTGGGGGACCCTCGACCAAACCGACCAGTCTTGGACGTTGTCAGGACGAAAAAGGCGAGCATGCTAACAATGAACGCTTTCCTGATGGATTTTGCGATGTTCGCGTCTTGGGGGCCCCCTCTTGGGTCCTCTTGGAGCCCTCGTGGGGCGTCTTGGGGGCCTCTTTGGCCGTCTGGAGGCCAGCTTTGGTTGTTTTTTATGCCTCCGCGGCGTGTTGAAGCCCAGCTTGAACCAGCTTACCTTGCAGCATCTTAAGGATCCTGGAGGCCACGAATATTAGTTTTGGGGGTTCTGGAAGCCGAGTGGGGCGCCGGGGGGGAGACTGCCACACGTCTTACACGCTTTCCTTTCTCACCCCTGGCAAGCGGGGTCGGCGGATATTGATGTTGCGGGCCCACCAGATTGCAGCTGCATCTGACAATCGGGACTCTTCCGCCGCCATGCGCATGGCTGAGTCTGAGCTGCAGGTGTTCCGTGCGGCATCTGATCGCCGAGGTGAGGGTACGGTGTTATTGGGCTTGGCCGAAGTCAAAGCTTTCTGGAGGGGTCGCTTGCAGGTCCAAGGGGCGCTGGAGGCTGGTCTAGCGGCGTTGGCTATTTTCCAAAGCCTCGGAGATAGGAAGATGGAGGCCTTCTGCCAGCTCGCCTTGGCGAACATCTGGTGGCCTTCGGCGAATCCCGCCACCGAGGCTGGGTCGTGGACGAGGGGTATCTTGGGGTCTCCCGGGGGGCCTTCCAGAGGCACCTCAGGGGCCACTTCGAGGCATCTCTGGAGCATCTTGAGGCCTCCTGCGGGCCTGCTGACGGTCTTCAGGGCCATCGTGGGGGTCCAGGGTTCACGAGTTCCTTTCGACGTCTCCTCTTAGGGGCCTCATCTCGTGGCCGTCCGAGGGGCCTCTTTGGCGTTCGTGGGCCTTGTTGGGGGGATCTTTGGAGGACGCTCGTCAGATCGAACAACAAACGTGGTACAAGCATACACAACTCCCAAGAGTTTCCTAGGATTTTGCCTCGTGGGCCAGACGGCATGAGAAGAGGCCCCCTCGAGAGTCCCAGGACCACTGCGTCCATCTGGTGTGGGAAGCTTGGATTCCGAACCACGCTGCCGAGGCCTGGAGAAAAGGCATGCGGGGAACCCCAGGACGTCCAAGGACCCCTGTAAATAGTGTTTCGAGTGTATACAAGTCGCCTTCGGCGAACCATCGCCGCCCCCTGTCTTCAGGAAACGCCCATGCGGCCAAACGTTGGGCCGAAGTCTGGCCAATCGATTGGACTATGTGCTCCCCCAGCCACTGTGGAGCCCCTTGGAGGAACACCTGGGAGAGGAAGAGAGGATGAGAGGGAGGAGAAGGCGGAGGAAGAGGCGGAGAAGGACAGGAAGCCTCGTGAGGCAGTCATGTGGCTTGCTGGGGGGCTTCCCTTGGCTTTTGAGGGGGCCTCTTCGGAGCCCTTGGGGGGGCTTCTTGGGGGGAATCGCGGGAGGTTTCTTGGTGGCCTCTCTGGGAAGCTGCTGGTCCGTCTTCGGGCGCTTGAGGGCCGTCTCGGAGGTCTGCCGGGCCGTCTTGGGGGCCTCTTTGGGCCGTCCTTAGGGAGCCTTCTTGCTGATCTCTTGGGAGCCGTCTTGGGGCGATCTGGGGGCGATCTTAGGGGCGTTGGGGCTGCCTGGGAGCGCGGCATCCCGAGCAGGCGAGAAGGAAGCAATTATTGTACTAGCAAAGGTGAATCAATGAATTTGGCCTCCTCTCCTCCTCCTCCTCCTTCTCCTCCTCCTCATCATCATCGTCCTCCTCCTCCTCCTTCTCCTCCTTCCTCCTCCTCCTCCTCCTCCTCCTCCTCCTCCCCCTCCCCCTCCTCCTCCTCTTGGGGTCCTTTTTTTGGGCGTCTTGGGGGCCTCCTGGGCCGTCTGGAGGGCATCTTTGGCAGTCTTGGTTCCATCTTGGGCGTCTTGGACCGTCTTGGGCTCGCTCGGGGCCATCTGAGCCGTCTGCAAGGACATCTTGTCCGTCTTGGGGGCCATCTTGGGACCATCTCGGGCGGCAAAATACACGGAGGGCCCCTTTTCCGATTGGCCGGCGGGCGTGGCTAGAGGCCGGTGGGGACCCTTAACGAAACGTTTGAAACAATCAATAATACAGCACGCCTTGCACCCATTTCTGAGAAATCAACAGGGAGCGGCATCGAAGACGCCTACGGCGAATCGCCGCCGCCCCCTGCCGTTTGGCAACGCCCATGCGGCCAAACGTTGGGCCGAAGTCTGGCCAATCGATTGGACTATGTGTATCCTCAGCCGCCGTGGAACCCAGTGAGGGAACACGACGAGAAAGGAGGAGGAGGAGGAGGAGGAGGAGGAGGAGGAGGGAGGAGGAGGGGACGGAGGAGGAGGAGGATGAGAGGGAGGAGAAGGAGGACGTTGAAGAGGAGGAGGAAGAGGAGGATGAGAAGAAAAAACAACATGAATGATAATACGATTATGGAGAAGAGTAAACATAATAGTAAGAAGAATAATAAGAAAACACTAACAATTCTAAGAATAGGAATAGTCATACGAGTAGAAATAATACTGGTACGAGGAAACAGAAGAAGTAGATGAGGCATCTTGAGACCCTCTGGGGGCCTCCTGGGGGGCTTTCTAGGAGTCTCTTGGGGGCCTCTGAAAGGCCTCTTGTGAGCGGTCAGGGGCCTCGTGGAGGCCTCCTGGGGCCTGCAGGGGCCGTCTTGGCGGTTTCTGGTGCCGTCTTGAGGCCGTCTTGAGGGCTCCTTGACCCGTCTTGGGGTTCTTTTGGTCTATCTTGCGGGCCCCTTAGGGGCCTCTGGGGCCGTCTTGGGGCAATCCTGGGGGCCTACGGACCGTCTTGGAGCGCCGGAGCCCGAAGAGGCGATGACGCTAAAACCATGGAGAAAACAAAATAGCATCAATGATGTTAACTTCCTGGAGTCGTTGCCCTCTTGGGGAGTCTTGGGGGCCTCTTGGACCATCTGAAGGTCATCTTGGAGTCTCTTTGGGCCATCTTGGCTGGCTTGGAGGCGTCTTGGCACCGTCCTGGAGGCCATCTGAGCTGTCTTGCGGACTATCTTGGATCATCTCGGCCGTCTTGGGGCCATCTTTGGGCCGTCTTAGGCGAGGCGGCCGACGGGAGAGACCGTCCGCCTGGCCGGCGTGATCGTCCGAGACTCGACGGGGAACTTTTCAAGCAAGGTTTCAAACGAACCTGAAATCTGCCACTCAATGCACCCCTTCGACAAATCAACAGGGCGCAGGCGGTTTGGGCGGTTTCTTGGGGCCTGTCGGGACTTCTTGCTGCCTGATTTGGGCCAATGGGGGGCTTGACATTTCAGTTCGAGTTACCCCCTTGGGGCTCTCTTGGGCCGTGGGGGGGGCCTCTTGGGCCGTCTTGGGCCCCTCTCTGGCCGTCTGGGAGCCCTTTTTGGTGCCGCTTGGAGCGATCTTGGGGCCTCTTGGGCCTCGTACTGCTTCCCCACATGCTGAGTGAGGTTATTGTTTTCTTCCAACCCGCGTCGCACCCGCGTCTCCCTCACCTCCCTCCTCCCTCTTCTCCTCTGCCGTTCTCCCTCCACCCAAACAGCCGCACGCACGCACACATTCGCACGCACCCGCACACACCCAAGGCGTATTCACAGCATACGGGGCACCCATATGAGACATAGGTCCCGATGCGGCCGCACACGCATCATACACATACACATGACATGCCATATACAAGGCGTGCTTTTAGGATTCGCAGTGCATGGCAGGCGTGACACTTTCTCGACACCAGAGGGAGTGCGTTGGGGGTGGCCGCCCTATCCGTTTCGGGCTCGCAAAGCGTGGCAGGCGTGGCATTTTCTCAACACCACAGGGGGTGCGATGGGGGTGGTCTCCCTATCCGTTTCGGGTTCGCAAAGCGTGGCAGGCGTGGCACTTCCTCCACACCACAGGGAGCGCGCTGGAGGTGGTCTCCCTATCCGTTTCGGGCTCGCAAAGCGTTGCAGGTGTGGCACTTCCTTGACACAAGAGGGGGTGCGATGGGGGTGGTCTCCCCATCGGGCTCGCAAAGCGTGGCAGGCGTGGCACTCTCTCGACACCACAGGGAGTGCGCTGGGGGGTGGTCTCCCTATCCGTTTCGGGCTCGCAGAGCGTGGCAGGCGTGGCAATTTCTCCACACCACAGGGAGCGCGCTGGAGGTGGTCTCCATATCCGTTTCGGGCTCGCGAAGCGTGGCAGGCGTGGCAGTTCCTCGGCACCACAGGGGGTGCGCTTGGGGGTGGTCTCCCCTATCCGTTTCGGGCTCGCAAAGTATGGCAGGCGTGGAATTGCGCATAGATGGGAATGACACGCAAACGCATAAGATTTACATTAACTATGTGGGGTTCATCGGTAGCGTATTCTAATTCGGTGGCGGCAAATCATAGGGAATGTGGGGTACTCAACTCAGTAGTTCCTGTGTCAGTTGGGCGGATATACTTCATGAAGGAGAAGGCCGATTCCGTATCTTGCGCAGCCAAAGAAGCGATGTTGATATTCGAGGACATCGGGGACCGCAAGGCAATGGCCAAAGCGTTGCACGGGCGTGCGCTCTCGTGCTTCTTGCGCGACGACTATGCCGACATGTTAAGTTTCGCTCAAGAGGCCTGCGACATTTACAGGGAGTTGGGCGCGAAGCGTCTCGAGGTGTTCGAATTCTCGGCGTTGGCACAGTTCTTCCTGCGTGCTGGGAAGCCTGCTAAGGCCCTGGCAGCGGCACACGAAGGGTTTGCAGTCAGTCGCGGCGTGGCGAGCGCGGGGAAGGCCCTTCAGGCGTTCCTGCTTCTGCTGATCGTGGAATCCCTGTCTGAGATCGGTCGGAAGCGCCCAGCACTCAAGGCAGCCAAACAGGGCCTCGCACGCTTCCGCGACCTTGGCGATCCGCGGGCGAACGCGTACGCTCTGCAGGTGGTGCTCTTCGCACATTGCGAGCTGGATGAGTATGACGGGGCACTGGGCGCTGCAGAGGAGGCGCTGGGCGCCGCACGCGAGCTCTGCGACCAGCGGATGGAGCTGGACCTGCACTTCTTGGTTGCGATCGTGCAGCTGAGGCGTGGGGAGCCAGATGCAGCGCTGGAGGCCATGCGCTCTGCCCGAGAGATTGGCAGCGGCCTCGAGGACCTCGAGGAAGAGGCGTGCGCCGAGCGCATGGTGTCAGAGATCTACCTGGAGCTGCTCGACACCGCCTCTGCGCTGAAGGCGGCGGCCAGATCACGGAGGCTCTTCGAGCGGGCGGGCGACGCCATCGGGGAGGCAGTCTTCGTCATCCTCTGCTGCCTCCTCGTTTGCCTCTCTGTCTCCTTGCCCTTTCTCCTCCTCGTCCTCGTCCCCTCACGAAGGCCAGCGCGCTCATCCTGAGCTCCTTCGCTCACGCGCTGAGCGGCCAGCTCGGCCGTGCTGTCACGGCGGCGACCGAGGCGCGCGACATCTACGAGGAGCAGGAGAGCGTCGCGGGCGAGGGCATAGCGCTCCGCCAGCTCGCGGAGCTGCAGGTGCAGGCGGAGCGCTACGACCTGGCCTCGCAGGCGGCGCAGAGGAGGCTGGAGCTCTGGGAGGACGCGGGGAACAGCAAGGAGATGGCGTACGCGCTACACTCGCTGGCCTCCGTGCACATCGCGGGAGGCAGCCTGGAAGAGGCCGAGGGCATGGCGCAGCAGGCGCTGGGCCTGTGCCGGGAGGTGGGCGACAGGCACCTGGAGGTGGGCTTGATGCTGGAGCTCACGGCCATACAGGTTATGCGGATGGACAGGGAGGCCTCCCCAGACGCGGCCGCCCCTTCGCCTGGCTTCGCGGCGGCGTGCTCCAGGGCTCTCAGGGCTGCGACCGAGGCTTTCGCCCTGGCCTGCGAGCACTGCGCGGGCGGGCAGGGCACCGGCCTGAGGGCACAGGCAGCGTTCTGGAGGGCGCAGATGCTGTACTGCAGCGGAGGTGACTCCGAGGCGCTGCGGATGGCGACTCAGGGGGCCTCGTCAACTAGTAAGCTACAGACGGCGATCTGGCCAGGCCAGCCTTGGACCCAGGATCGGTGTGCACGCTGTCTGGTCTGCACGCTGCCCTGGCCAGGCCAGTAGGGCGGATTCACCACTCCTGGGCCCAGGGTTGTGAAGAGTTGAGGCTCCCTCAGGCGAGGCATGCGGAGCGGCTGTTCAGCTGCATGGGCCGCTCGGCGGCCGCGTCGGAGGCGTTGACGTTGCAGGCGTTTGCGTTGCTGGGCCTCGGGGACCGCAAGCAGGCCATGAAGGCTGCTGAAGATGCGCTGGTTCTTGCTAGGGCGTGTTGTGCCGCGGCCGCCGAGAAGTCGGCGAGCGCTTTTTTCGACCAGGTGCAGAGGGATGACGCACGGCGGGAGCAGGCCGAGCAAACAGTTGCGATACAGGCGCCAGGGCCGCTGCTGCCGCAGGCGGCTCCCGATGATGCTGGCGACAAGACTGCAGTGGTCCCGGCGGTTGAGGCTCCACCTGAGCCGAAAGGCTTGGACCCGGTCGTTGTGAGGGAACGCCTCATGCAGATGGTGCTCGACGCCATCGCATCGGAGGAGGAGGATCTCCAGGTGGACACGCCGTTCATGGACGCGGGCATGGACAGCCTGTCCAGTGTCCAGTTCGTGACCGAGGTCTCGAGGGAGTTCAGCATGAAGCTGTCGCCGTCCCTTGTATTTGACTACCCCAACGTGCGCGGCTTTCTGGGCTACCTCGTGGAGGAGAGCCGCCCGCCTCTTTTGTTCACCCCCTCCTGCGTTGGGCCCTCGTTTGGGATCGCACTGCTGCTCCCGTCCTCCTGCCGCCTCCTCCCTGCCTCCTGCCTCCACTCCACCCATCTGCCTTGCACATCCCTCCTGCCGCCTCTCCCCTCCGGCCCCGCACCTTGAACTTGCCTCCTCCGCCTCCTGCCTCGTGCCCCTGGCGGCTGCCAACTGCGCAGCGGTCGATGTTGTTGGGAGCCCTCGGGAGGGCCATCGGAGCAGTGTCCTGCGCGGATCCAGGTGAGTCCTCGCTGCTCTGGGCGTTGCCAGCTGCGCAACTGTCGCCACTGTCGTGAGCTCCTGGGAGGTCCAGCGTAGTGGTACCCTTCGCGGGCCCAAGGCAATCGCGCAGTTGTCGTGGCATTTGTGAGCCCCTGGAAGGTCCAGCGGAGTGGTGTCCGTCAGGGATCCAAGTAAGACCTTGCCTCGTTGGGAGTCTTGCCAACCGTGCACTTGTCGCCATTTTCGTGAGCCCCCGGGAAGTCTGGCAGGGTGGTGTCCTACGCGGGTCCACGTGGAATTGGCGTCTCTGGGAGCTGCCAACTGCGCAACCGTCGCCGCTCTCGTGGGCCCCTCGTGTGCAGCGCGGATCCAGGCGAGACCTCGCCTCTACTGGGTGCTGCCAATCGGCCACTGTCGCCGCTGTCGTGACCCGCCCGGGAGGTCCAGCAGAGCGTGATACTGCGCGGATCCAAGTGTGACCTCGCCTTCCTGGGCGTTGCCAATCGCGCCACTTCTGGCACTCCTTTCTTCTGTGGCACGTGGGAGGTGGTGTCCAGCGTGGGTCCAAGTGAGACCTCGCTGCTCTGGGCGCTGTCATGTGCGCAACTGTCACCACTTTCGTGAGCCCCTGGGAGGTCCAGCGGAGTGGTGCCCTTCGCGGATCCATGTGAGGCGTCGCCTGCTTGCGCGTTCCCAGGAGGTCCAGCGGAGTCGTGTCCTACGCAGACCTAAGCGTGAGCTAACCTCCCTTAGCGCCAGTTTTATATGTGCCACGCGCTTGTCCTTCGGACGTGCAGACTCGCACAGCTCAGGAGGCGGAGGAGGAGGGGGAGGATGAAGAGGTCAACGCGGACACCGCCTGCTTCACGTACATCTGTCTTGTGAGGCATTTCTGGCGCAGGCTTTCGGTGTGGTGTTCACTAAGTATTGCGTCCCTTGCCATACCATCATCTGTTCAGACTGGGCTCATTGCTATGGTCACGTGTTTAAGACGGCGTTGGCACGTCACTGGATATTTGAAACCAGCCATAATCTCTGTGGCTGCGAGCAACATTCGTGAAGTGTGTCCCCTTCCCAGGGCCTCCGACCAGATTTGTGCGAGTCTCCGGCTCTGGAGCTCTCGCCTGCTCCTCCAGGCCGGGCGTTTCATCCCGAGCCGCTCTTCTCAACGGTCCTGGAGTTTGGATCGGGCCGGGCGAAAGGGGGGGATTGGGAAAGGGGGGGTTACGAAATTTGCTGCATGCAGCTGGATTCGGCCCCACCGAGGGGCCCATTCCTCGATACATGGCCGCCTCCTGGCGCCGGGAGCATCAGCTACGAGAGCTGATTCTCAAACCCCCCCTTTGCTATCCCCCCCTTTCGCCCGACCCGATTGGAGCAGGTGTCAGCATGCCGGGATTTGTAAACAAACATGGCGCGAACGCGGTTGATTTCGGTAGAGGTCCGGGCCTTCCTCCTCGGAGGCCCGGAGGTTGGCACCAACACCAAGATCGGCAGAGTGCCTCCACCAAGGGAAGCTGATCCCAATCTCGGTGCTGGTGGTAATATCGGGGGAGCGTAAGACCCAGGTTTGCCAGGACTCGGGTTCGCCATTTTTTTTTGACGACCGCGACTCGGATTTTGACGAGGAGGAGTTTCGTGGGATGTCTGCAGCGGGAGGCCTCGTCAAAATGCAGGCTCGGCCTCGTCATTTTTTTGACGACCTCGTCGGGGATTTCCGAGTCCCCCGTACCCGGGTCTTACGTCTCCCCGATAATACTTGGGCTTTCTGGGTGTCCGAAAGATTACCACCAACACCGAAATCTTGGATCATCATCCCCCATCCCCCGGTGAACGCAACTTCCTGTTTTGGTGTCGGTGTCCATTTCCAAGCCTCCAACCTCCGCCTCTCCTCCTGGGCAGGGCCAGCAGAAGATTTGGCAAGAGGCGAGAGGCGCGTCAGCTTCGGGGCGCAGCCGAGGCGTCAGAAAGCCGCGGGACGAGCAGGCGTCCCCAGAAAGGTCTTTAGACATGCGCAGCAGGCGCCTTTCCCTCTCGGCCTTCCCCAGTCCCATCCCTCTCCCCCTCATTCTCCTCGTCATCCTCGTCCTTCTCCTCCTCCTCCTCCTTCTCCTCCTCCTCCTCCTCTTCCCTCCTTCAGTGTGACAAGTTTCTTGTGCCACGAGATGAGGTTGAGGACCAGGATGGAGTGCTGCATGAAGTGTTCCAATATACTCCTCAATATATGTATGACCAAGGCTTGCGAGCGGTGGAGCCAAACTGGGATGCCTTTGAGGTGGCGGTTGCGCTTTCTACGATTCCTTTGGATATTCCACTAATTGTTCCACGGTCAGATTGTACGCTCTGGGTGATTGGACTTCGGACAGGTCGAGCTGGGGCAACATTATTTTCACGGATGGGTCAGGCTTCTCTTCATCCGTCCCAGCTCATGCGTTGTGGGTGGGGCTTGGTCATGCTATCGCAAATTGGCTTTCCCATTCGAGCTGCGTACGGACCCCTTTCTGGGCTGCTGCAGTCAGTCGGACGTGCGGAACGGTATACATGCGGTTCTTATGGCAATGCGTTTGGTTCACGATTTTGATGTCGGACTTCCTTGGGCTGTGTGACGAGGGCAATTTGTGGACGGACAAGTTGGAAGCCTCGACGGGTACGCATGCCACCATCTGGAGGCAGGGCAAATCGGCGGCCACGGTTTGGAACATGCCAAGACCAAGTTTTTTCTGGGTCCCGTCGCACAGGGATTTCGAGTAGTATGCAGATCGCGGCATGCCAAATATGGTATTATGCAGATCGCGGCATGCCACGACCATTTGGGAAATGTATGGGTCGATATCTTTGGTAGAGCAGGAGCGATTCAGCATCGCTCCAGTCAAGTCTACGAGGATTTTTTCAAGATGGAAGTGAAGCGTTACCAGCAGGTTTCCAGGTATATGTCTTGGGCCATGCAGCGCATGCTGAAGCAAGAAGATTGGACGTCTGATCATATCGTGAAGTCGGCGCCAGCGGTGGGCGTGAATATTGTGTTGAAGCTGCCGGTGATCAAGCACGACGCGGTCAAGCTCACCAGCGGCACCTTTTTCTGTCGCACCTGCTGCCGCAGCTCTTCTTCTCAGGTTGGGCCAGCGTTTGCGCAGTTCTTGAGATCAGAGTGTCCTGATATCGTCGTTGACAACCACAGGGCGGAGGCCGTGATCGTCAAGCTTGGGGTGAGACCTTCTTTTTCGAGTGCTGCCGAGACGGTCTTACAGGGAACAGGGTCAGTGGAGCTTGACGTGTTCAGCGATTTTTCTGGAAGGGCTCATCCACCAATGTTGGAGACTGGTCAGGTGTTGAGATGATCGAGCACAAGGGGCACAAGCTGCGACGTGCTGGCGGAACTAGTTTCTTTGAGAGTTGCGTGGCGTGGGCTCCGGCTGGCCCACCACACGTCCTGCAGTAAATTTGCCTGGGCTTCCCTAGTGGTAAGGGTCGAGCCTCTACTTACGTTTCTAACCTGCAGGGTCGGCTCAGGAGACTACTGGCAGCCAGGCATCCAAAGTCCAACGAGCCGGTGAGTCCTTCAGTGGTTGTTGATTTTGTTGGTTATCCCGTGGATGGCGTGCTTGTAGACCCTGTTGACGGAGGTGATGGGGCTTGTGTCGCGTGCGGCCTGGCTGATGTTACTCATGTTACCTGGCGCTCTGCTACGCATGTGCCGCGGTATCCCCTCTGGGTACATACCATGCTGCAACGCCCAGGCCCCACTGTTTCCAGCCAGCTGGTTGGGGCAAAGTTGCAATTGGCCAGCGCAGTCGTAGGAGGTGTTGGAGCTCGTGTCGCGTGCGGCCTGGCTGGTTGCACTCATGTACCTGAGGGTCTGGCGCTGACAAGTGCGTGGCCGTTAGACCGCAAATCCCGCTGCGTTCGGCGACCCCACGGTCATGATCCAGGGGCGTTGAGGCGGTCGGGCTCACCGTCACCACGTGTTTGCCGTAGGCCCCGAGGAAGCCCCTGCTGCGGGGAGCACCTCGGGCATCCGTCGTCACGACTGCGCACTCTCGTGCACATCGGCCTCGGTCTCCGTATCGTGCACGAGCAGGGCCGTGCAGTTCTGTGTCGTCCACGGCCGTGGCTTCGCCGACGCCGTGGGCTTCGTGCTCCTCGCGCTGCTGGGCATCCTGGCCCTGGGCATGGGGCTGCAGCCTCGGCGTCCTCTCCTGAGGACCGCAGGCGCCCTGCCTGCTCGCCGCCGCGCGTTCGGATTTGGCGGACGCGCTCTCTGCCTCGAGCCCTCGATCGTCCTCCCTCCTCCTCCCTCCTCCTCTTCATCCTCCCTTCTCCTCCCTCCTCCTCCTCCTCCTCCTCCTCCTCCTCCTCCTCCTCCTCCTTCTCGTCGTCCTCCTCCTCGTCCTTCTCCTCGCCCTCCTCCTCGTCCTCCAGTTCCCCCTGTCTCCCCAGCCAAGTCCCTCCCTCCCCTCTCGTCGTCGCTCCTCGTCCTACCGCCATGCCAGGAAAGCAAGAATGCGAGCCGCGCGTACTGACGCGCAGGGGGCCTGTCTGCCGGGGGGGGGCGCTGGCGGCTGCGGCGGCGCGGCGCCTCCCAAAGCAATGGGCTTTGCGCGGGAGGGGGCGGGGGAGGGAGGGGGGGGGGGCAAGCTAGGTGCGCTCGCGTCATATCTGACGCCCTACCCCTCCCTCCCATCCCTTACCATGGCGTAGATCTCCCCTCTATTCGCACAATCGGATATCGTAGCATGGCATAGCGTTTAATGGAATAGCAGGCGTTTAATATAACGCGTGGCATACATAGTACGGCGTGGCAACGCCCCAAATTGGGGGGGGGGCTTCTGCGGCCCAAAATATCAACGAATCGTCACCGAATGTGTAATCACTTCCGATGGTTTCTTCGGGAGGCCATTTTTTGATTTGGGTGCCATTTGGGGAGGACCGACAACCATGCCGTGGCACTGCACTGGAACTAATGACGCCAGCGCTGCAGCGGTAACACGATTCGGAACGAGCGGAAGTGCGGAAATGTTGCAGCGGAACCACGATTCGGAATGTGCGGAAGCGCGGACATGAAGCCAGCGTTGCAGCGGGAGATCGATTCTGAATTAGCGGAAGCCCGGAAATGAAGCCAGCGCTGCAGCGGGAGTACGATTCGGAACGAGCGGGAGCCCGAAAGTGAGGCCCGCGTTTCAGCGAGCGCAGCATTTTGAAAACAACAAAACAGCGAAAACCCAGCTCGCCGACATCCTGTGTGGAAAAAACAGTACGCGAGGGGGGGCCGAACACTCCGGGACAGATTCCGCCAAATATGCAGGGGAGAGAGGAGAGTATTATCCAGATTGAGTAATTGTGGGAAGGGGAAGGAAAGGAAGACGGGGGGGGAGGGCGGAGGGGGAGGAGTCGGGAGGGTGAGGGGACGGGGGAGGAGGAGGAGGAGGAGGAGGAGGAGGAGGAGGAGGAGGAGGACGAGGAGGACGAGGACGACGACGAGGAGGAGGAGGCGGAGGAGGAAAAGGAGGAAGAGGAGGAGGAGGAGAGGGAGGGGGAGGGAGAGGAGGAACAGGAGGAGGGCTGAGGAGGAGGAGGAGGAGGAGGAGGAGGAGGAGGAAGGAGGAGGAAGGGATATGCAGCAGGGAGGGAGGAGGAGGAGGAGGGGGGGTGGATTGAGGATGATCAGGTGTGGTGCGCCGCCGCCGCAGCTGACGTCGCCGTCGTCGTCGTCGTCGTCGCCGTTCCCAGGGGAGGGGGAAGGCTTCTGGACCCTCCGAATAATTTTCCTGCAGCGGGAGGAGGGGGAGTCCAGGGGCCCAGACCCCCTACGTTCTTCCCAGGGGGGGGGGAGGAGGTTGAATGGGGGGGTGCCGCTTGTTTTTCTGAGCCCCTTCTTTACATAGGATTTTTTGTGAGGGGGGGTGGGGCGTCCCTTGGTTTCTGTTTCGTTTATGTGGGGTTCTGTTGTTTTTACCCCCCCCCCCGCAAAGATGTGTTCCGGCCAGCGACTGTGGATCGCGCTCCCTCGAAAATCCTGAACTTGTCTGAAGAGCGAGGAGAGAGGTGGAGGTGGCGAGGGCGAGGGCGATGGATGGAGGGCGCCGGGTTCCAGCGGTGTCTTGCTGGCTGTCTCTTGCCCTGAAAAATCTGGACCAGAATGGCCATCCGTCGCCGCCCGTCGCTTGGGAATGCGGGCCGGGCCGCCGTGTCGCCGGCCGCCGCCTCGTCGCAGCCTGTCGCCTGGGCCTGCGGGCCGCCATGGCCGTCATGTGGCCGCCGTCGCCGCCTCGTCGCCGCCCGCTTTGCATTGCCTCGCGCTGCGTTGCATTACCCTGCATTGGTGTGCACTCCTGTGCATTGATGTACGTTATTTCGCGCTGATTTTCATTGCGTTGCATTGCATTGCAGTCGCATTGCGTTGCTTTGCGCCACATGGGTTGCACCACGTGAGTTGCACGACCCAAATGCCCCTCCTGGAATGCGCCACGTAGATTGCTGGAGGTCGCTATTTTGGGGTCCGCGGTAGCCAGCGGTATCCAGAGTTTCTGTTTGTGGCCTGGGCCCAAGACCAGTCCCTTGAGGTTGGAGACGCCGGAGTTCTTTCCAAGACGCCAGAGGTGCGCGGTCCCCATGGCTCGCTATGCTTTGAGCCTTTCGGTCTGGCGAGCCGCGAGCCTTCGCCTCCGGCGCCGGGGCCGGGCGCCGTGGAGCCTGGCCAGGTGTGTTGGTTTCTCGCGGTCGCCGAGCTCGGAGAGGAGCGGGGAGGGGGGCTGAGGAGGGCGGCGAGGGAGGACGGCGGGACGCTGGGGGGCTCAGGAAAGAGCGCAGGATCTGGGACGGTGATAATGATGGTGATGGGGGAGCAGAAGAAAAGGAGGAGCAGCGCAAGGATTAGCAGGTATGCTGATGTTGATGGTGATGAGGTGAGGCGGAGGAGGAGGAGGGCGGAGGAGGAGTGGGAGGGGGAGAGAGAGGGCGAGAGGGCCGATGAGGAGCGCGGAAGAGGAAGAGTGACGCGGGGAAGCCACGAAGTAGAGAACAGAAGGGGGGGAACGGGGAGGTGGAGGAGGAGGAGGAGGAGGAGGAGGAGGAGGGAGGAATATGGGAAGAGGAGGAGGATGATGTGAACAGGGAGGAAGACGAGGAGGACCAGGAGGGAGGAGGAGGGGCAAGGGAGGGGGGGGGCAAAGGGGAGGAGGCAACATGGATAATAGATGAGGGGGAGGGAAGGGTGAGGAGGGGGGGGGGAAGGGAGTGGAGAAGGAGGAGGGAAGAGGGTTTAGTGGGGCGGGAGAGGAGGAAGGGAAGGGTGCGAAGGGGGCGGGATGGTGACGGGTGCACGCAGTTGTTCTTCACGCGATGTGTGTCGCAATGCGCATCGATCCGCCGCTGAACGGCTCACAAAATGGATCTGCGCCAACGTTTTTTCGATATTACACTATAATATGCGTATAGTTCCTCCTCCGCCTCCCCTGATAATGATTTTCGTCCCTCCATCTGGCCCAATCGTCATCTCCGTTTTTGCACTTCTTCTTGCTATCCTCCCATCCTAATCCTCCTCGTCGTCCTCCTCCCCCATCCTTTCCCTCCCCACTGCTTCTTGAGAGCGGGTGGGAGCTGAGAGAACGGAATAGGGATGACGGCGAGCATATTGGTTTCACCTTTGGTTTCTTGTTCCTCTCCGTCTTGCTCTCGCAGCCATCCTGGCGCGAGGGGGGTGGCCGCAGCACTGGCCATGGCAGCGGCGATAGCTGCCGTGGCGGCTGCCCATGACCGCGGCACATATCCCTCGATGTACGTCAGGTCAGCGTGGGGCAGAACAATGAAGAGGTGGAGGAGGAGAAGGGGGGTGGGAAGTGTAGACGGAGAGAGGGAAGCAGAAGGACGAAGCAGGGGGGCAGTGGAAGCGAGGGGGAGGAGAAGGAGGAGGGGCAAGGAGGAGGCGATGGGGGAGGAGGCGCCGCATCGCATAGGCGATGCGGCTCGATTCAGAGCCCGAGTTTCTCTGTTTCGATTTCGCCGATGTTTCGACGATGCGAGGCGATCTTCCAAGCCCCATCTACTCGGTGTCCAATTGGGAGCCGTCCAGCGAGGAGCTCTAGCGCAGCAGTTCTTGACGCTTCGCGTATCCCCGCAACGCCTTTGCCGAGCAACACGCTGCCCCTGGCACCACGCGCGCTTTCGACCCGCGTCGGCACGACCAGCGAACTTGCGTCGCCTTCCTGACCTCATTTCGCAGCCACCGCTGCGATGCTCGGGCCATGAGCGACTCACTGGGCCTGGGAGTCGACTGGGCAACACTTGGGACACCACGTCGGCGCGAACAGGGGGCGCCAGGCACCGCCGCGAGATGGTCGGGATCCCGTGGGCGCCGACAGTGGCCGCACACTGTAGGGTGGGATTGCTCTCGGGCGAGGTCGGGCCCTTGACGTCGAAGACGTGGCCGTTTGCCTCCACACCCGTGACGCCGGCGTCGGCGAGCCGTTCCCCCATCGTGCGAATGTCAGTCGCCTCCCACCTCACCCACCCCATCGGGGTTGTCCCCTTACCACCACGCGACCGTCAATCGCCCCCTCCCGCCACTTTCCTCTGCACCTCGGAACCCGTTCCACGCTCCCTTCCGCGGCTGCCCGCCGCTTCCCCCCGGCCGCCCCCCGCCCGCCTCCTGGTCCCCGTCCTCCACGCTCGCCCCCTGCGTGCCGCCCATGCTGTGCGACCGTCCGTCGCTCCAACGGCTTGCTCGGGCGTGACCAGCAGCACAATTGCATCGTCCACCGCCGGGACGCCCAGTGCGTCGTCGTCTTGCAGTACACCGCGGGCGACCAACAGAACGACCCCGAGCAGCACGGTCACGACCAGTACAGTCGTGGCCGCAGTACGAGCGGCCCCAGCAGCACGACGGCCAGCTCGAACGTGACCAGCAGCACAACAGCAGTGCCCACCACCCTGACTCCCCTGTATCGTTGCCTGCAGCACGCCTCAGACGACCGACGCGGCGACCCGAGCAGCAGGGTCGCGACCAGTATGGCCACGTGCAGTGCCACGTTCACGGCCTTCCACGGTGGGCTCCACGACGACAGTGAGCAGCACCGTGAGCGTGGACGCGGCGAACAGCGTACGTCGAGCAGTACGATTTCAAGTGTGGCACAGTCGAGCATCACCACGCCGGCTAGCACTACGGAGAGCAGCGGCAAGACGCTGACGGCTTCGACAGGGTCATTCATTACCGCGTTGCCCGGGACGTGGTGTCGCTGGCGAGTACGATCGGCTCCAGCGGCACGACGGCCAGCTCGAGTGTGACCCGCCGCGCAGCTACATTGTCCACCATTTCGACTTCCAGTGCACCACTGTCTTGGCCAGTACATTTTTGAGCTACGCGACCTCCACGGCCACCTTCACGGTGATCTCCACGACGACAGTGAGCAGCAGCTTGAACGAGGTTGAAACGTGCAGCACAATGTCGTGCAGTACGTCTTCGAGTGCGATACTATCGAGCAGGCCCACGGCGGCCAGCACTACGATGAGCAGCGGCACGTCGCTTACAGATACGACAAGGTCATTCAGACCACGCGGACCGAGACGAGCCCCTCGGCTAGTCTTAGCGGTACCAGCGGCACGACGGCCAGCACAAGCGTGACCAGCAGCACAAGTGCATCGCCCATCACTTTGACCCGTGCATCGTCTCCTAGCAGTACGCCTCAGACGACCAGAAGTGCGTCCTCGAGCGGCGCGCCGCCATCGGCCCACGACGACATTGTGCTGCTGCGTGTGCGTGGCGTGACGAGCAAGGCAACGTCGTGCCGCGCGACTTCGAGTGCGACACAGTCTAGCAGAACCACGCCTGCCAGCACTACGGTGAGCAGCGACACGACGCTGAAGGATACGCCAAGGTCATTCCATGCCGCGGTGACCGAAACGAGTACGTCAACGACTCGCACGAGCGGCACCAGCAGCACGACGGCTAGTTCTAGCGCGACCAGCAACGCAACTGCATCGTCCACCACCTGGACTTCCAGTGGGCCGTTGTCTTGCAGTGCGTCTCAGACGACCAACAGTGAGACCTTGAGCAGCACGGTCACGACCCGTGCGGCTTCGAGCATGTACTTCCACAGCCACGCCCACGGCGGGCTCCACGCCGTCGCACAGCAGCAGCGTGAGCGGAGTCGAGACGGGCAGCGCAACGTCGAGCAGTACGAGTTCGAGTGCGATACAGTCGAGCAGCACTACGCTGGCCGTTGCTACGGTGAACAGCAGCACGACGCTGACGGAAACGACATGGCCATTGAATCCCACGCTAAGCGAGACGCGCTCTTCTATGGCCAGTACGAGCGGCGCAACGCAATTGCATTGCCCGCAGCTCGACTTCCAGTGCGTCGTTGTCTTTCAGTACGTATCACATGACCAGCAGAGTGACCTCGAGCTGACCGGTCACGGCCAGCACGGTCTCTTCCAGTGAGACGTCCACGGCCACTTCCACGGCGAGCTCCACGTCGCCATCGAGCCGCAGCGCGAGTTTGGGCGAGTTGGGCAACGCAACGTCGAGCAGCACGATTTCGAGTGCGGCCCGGTCGAGCAGGGCCGCCCGGCCAGCGCCGCGGCGAGCAGGGGCGCGACGCTGACGGATACGACAAGGTCATTCATGCTACGCTGGCCGAGACGAGTCCTCGTCGGCTAGCACGAGCGGCGCCGGGGGTCGACGGCCTACTCGAGCGCGGCCAGCAGCGCAACTGCATCCTCCACCACTTTGCTTCCAGTGCTTCGTTGTCTAGCAGCGCGCTTCGGACGACTGACAGCGCGACCTCGGGCAGCGCGGCCACGACCAGTAGGGTCTTGAGCAGTGCGACGCCCGCAGCCACGCGCGCCCACAACGACATTGAGCAGCGCCGCGCGCGTGGTCGCGACGAGCAGCGCAACGTCGAGCTGCACGCTTCGCGCGGGACCTGGTCGAGCAGCACCGCGCTGGCCTGCGCCGCGGTGAGCAGCGGCATGGCGCTGGCGGACGCGACAGGGGCATTCAATGCCACGCTGCCTGGGGCGAGCTCTCTGACGGCCAGTGCGAGCGGCTCCGACAGCATGACGGCCTGCTCGGGCGTGACCTGCCGCGCAACTGCATTGCCCACCACCGTGGCCTCCAGTGCATCTTGTCTAGCAGGATCTCGCAGGCGTTCCGCAGTGCGCCCTCGAGCAGCACGGCCAGGCACAGCACGGCCTAGAGCAACGCGACGTCCACAGCCACTTCCTCGGCGAGATCCACGACGACAAAGAGCAACCGCGCGCGCGAGGTTGGATCGAGCAGCACAAGTCGAGCAGTGCGTGTTCGAGTGCGACGCCATCGAGCGAGCAGCGCCGCGCCGGCCAGATGCGGCGAGCAGCGGCGCGTCGCTGGCGGACACGAGCAGGTCACGCAGCACCACCGACAAGGTCATTCAATACCACGCTGGCCGAGACGAGTTCTCGACGGCTAGTCCGAGCGGCTCCAGTGGCACGACGGCCCGCTCGAGCGTGACCAGCAGCGCAACTGCTCGCCCACCACCTCGACTTCCCGTGCATCGCTGTCTCGCAGTACGCCGCAGCCGACCAGCGCTGCGACCTCGAGCAGCGCGGTCGCGGCCAGTGCGTCCTCGAGGAGCGTGACGTCCACGGCCACTTCCACAACGACATTGAGCAGCCGCTCGCGCGTGGCCGCGACGAGCAGAGCGATTGTGCCGCACGGCGTCGAGCGCGACACTATCGCGCAGCTCCACGCCGACCAGCATCCAAGGTGAGCCGCGGCACGACGCTTTCAGATACGTCAGGGTCATTCAATACCACGGTGACCGAGACGAGTACTCGGACGACGTGCGCGAGCGGCGCCAGCAGCGCGACGGCTAACTCGAACGAGACCAGCTGCGCATCTGCATCGTCCACCATCTGGACTTGCAGTGCCCCGTTGTCTAGCAGTACGTCGCAGACGACCAGCAGTGCGACCTCGAACACCGCAGTCAAGACCAGTGCGGTGCGATCAGCGGGCGCCCGCGGCCACTCCCACGATGGGTGCCGCGTCGACACTGCGCGTCAGCGCGGGCAGGGTCGAGACGAGCTGCGCAACGTCGAGTAGGCCGATTTCGAGCTCGACACAGTCGAGCAGTACCACGCCGGCCAGCACAACGGTGGGCAGCGGCACGACGCGGATGGATACGTCAGGGTCATTCAATACCACGGTGGACGAGGCGCGTTCTCGATGGCTCACGGCTCGTACGAGCGGCACCGGCAGCACGACGGCTAGCGCGAGCGTGGCCAGCAGTAGAACTGCAACGTCCGCAGCTTGACTTCCAGTGCGTCGTTGTCTCGCAGTACGTCTCACATGACCAACGGAGCGACGTCGAGCGGCCCCGTCCAGCCAGCACCGCGATGGGCGGTTGTGTGACGCTGACAGTCTCGGCAAGGTCTTCCATACCACGCTGACCGAGACGAGTCCTTCGACGGTGCTGGAAGTATGACGATCAGCTCGACCAGTAATTAGCGCAATTGCATCTTCCACCACCTTGACTTCCAGTGCTTCGTTGTCCTGCAGTGCGTCGCAGGTGACCAGCAGCGCGACCTCGGGCAGCACGGTCGCGACTTGCACGGCCTCGACCAGTGCGTCGTCCACGGCCACCTCCACAGCGGATCCACGACGAGGGGGGCGAGCAGCAGCGTGGGTCATCAACATCACCGACAAGGTCATTCAGACCAAGCTGGCCGAGACGAGCTCCTCTACGGCTAGTCCGAGCGGCACCAGCGGCGCGACGACCAGCCCGTGCGTGACCAGCAACATTTGCATCGTCCACCACCTCCATTCCCAGTGCACCGTTGTCTCGCAGTACGGCTCAGCTGACCGGCAGTGCGACCTCGACCAGCACGGTCGCGACCAGTACGATCTCGAGCAGCGCGACGTCCACGGCTTTTTCACAACTACATTGAGCAGCCGCGCGAGTGTGGTCGCGACGAGCAGCGCAGCCGCGAGCTGCACGACCTCGATTGCGACACTATCGAGCAGCCCCACGCCGGTCAACACCAAGGCGAGCCGCGGCACGACGCTGACGGACACGTCAGGGTCATTCAATACCACGGTGACCGAGATGTACTCCGACGGCGTGCACGAGCGGCACCAGCAGCACGACGGCGAGCTCGAGCGCGATTAGCTGCACAACTGCGTAGTTCACCACCTGGACTCCCAGTGCCCCGTTGTCCAGCAGTACGTCTCAGGTGACCACGGTGCGACCCCGGGCAGCGCGGTCGAGACCAGTGCGGTTTCGAGCAGAGTGGCGCCCACGGCCTTTTCCACGGTGGGCTCCACGTCGACATTAAGCAGCAGCGCGCGCGGGGTCGAGACGAGCTCCGCAACCTCGAGCAGTACAATTACGAGCGCAACACAGTTGTGCCGCACTACGTCGCGCCAGCACTACGGAGGGCAGTGGCGCGACGCTGACGGATACGGCAGGGAATTCATAGCATGGTGACCGAGGCGCGTTCTTCGACGGCCCGTTCCAGCGGCGCTAGCAGCGCGACGGTTAGCTCGAGCGGGGCCAGCAGCGCAATTGCAATGTCCGCAGCTTGACTTCCAGCGCTTCGGTGTATTACAGTACGTCTCGGATGGCCAACAGAGCGACCTCGAGCAGCATGGCCGCGACCAGTACGGTCTCGAACAGCGCAAGGTCCACGGCCACCTCCGCGGCGAGCTCCACGTAGACCTCGAGCTCTAGCATGGGCGCCGTCGAGTCGGACAGCGCAACGTCGAGCAGCGCGACTTCGAGCGCGACGCAGTCGAGCAGCCCCATCCGGCCAGCACGCGGCGGGCAGTGGCACGACGGTGACGTTTCGACAAGTTCTTTCCGCGCCACGCTGTCCGGGACGAGTTCTTCGACGGCCAGTGCGAGCGGCACCAGCGGCGCGACGACCAGCTCGAGCGCGGCCCCCCCCCACCTCGGCTTCAAGCTTTTCGTTGTCTTGCAGTGCCCTTCAGACGACCTGCGGCGCAACCTTGGATCTCCCCCCCGGTCTCCCCCTGGCCTCAGGTGCCCCCCCCCAGCGCTCCGCCCCCCCCGGGCCCTGCGGCGATTCCAGAGCCCCCCTGCAGGCCGCTGACCTACGCGGGCGGCGGGGATGGACAACGCCCGCGTACATCTGCCCGATGGATCCGGCTTGGATCCTTTACACACTTCTGAAGTTGCGAGCTGCGCGGGCTGGCAGTCGGACCCCCCCACGGGCTGGCAGTCGGGCCCCGTCCGCGAGATCGATCTATCAGACAGAGATTGCTCAACCTGCTGGATCAAGGCACTTGGCGATCAGACCCTGGTAACTTCCCCGTTTCCGCGGCTGTTAGCTGCGCGGTAGTCGGGCCTCGCTCCGATCAGCCCCCCACGTGCGACACTCCCATCCAGCCAGGCACTAGTACTTCATACCCTCCTGCGGCTGTTTGCTGCACCCCCGCCGAGCTTCGGCACGACCGGCGCCCGGGGGCCCATTGCGGCGGCTCTCCAGCACGCCGCCCGGCTGGGACGGGCTCGGCGACCCTCCCGCCATTCGAGACGGCGGACCGCGGCGAGTGGCCGGCAGGCCCCGCAGGCCCCCACCATGCCTCCGGAGGACCCCCCCCCAGCACTCAGCCCCCCCCCATCGGGCCCCGCGGGGGCTCCAGAGCCCCCCCCCCCTGCAGGCCACAGTGCAACGCGGGCGACTGGGGTGGGGAACGCCCTCGCGCAGCTGCCCGATATCGACTTCAACATTTCTCCGGCTGTTAGCTGCGACCCCACCCACAATACGGATTGCCCCCCAACGCTCCCCACGGGGCGCATGTGCCAGGATATTTTTCGCACCTCCGCGACCTCTGCGCCCCCCCGGGGCGCGGGGGCCAGTTGGCAGCGCACGTCCTGGATCGATTGCCCCGCCCCCCCCCTGCGGCGGCCGCCCCGCAGGAGGCGCGCGGACCCGCCCTTGACCCATCATTTCTGCGGCTGTTAGCTGCGACCCCATCCCCAGCGCGGCCTTGGCCTTCAGCGCCCCTTTGGGGCGCGCGCGCCAGGATATTTATCGGCCCAGATTCCGCGCTGTCTGGCTCGCCCATCGTCCCGCGGCTGCCCCCGCGCAGGAGGTGCATGGGTTGTCGCCTCTGCTCCTGCGGCCGTGTGCTGCGTCCGCATTCTGCGACATTGACTTCGGCGACGGAAGCACGAGGGCCTCTCATTGGCAGATGCTCCTTTGACGGCGCGCCTGGCCTATCGGGGCCCCCTGGGCGCAGAGGTCTGGTGGCATATATTCTCTTGCACAGGGTGTCTAGAGCTCCGACCACTTTATTTCGGTGTCGTCGTCGCTCCCCCCCAGCTGCCTTGCGCCCTTCATGTGTCCCTATATGTGTCGCTGTGTGCCTTGTGCCCTTCATGTGCCGCTATATGTGTCGCTGTGTGTCGCTATGCGTCTCCATGTGTGCGTCGCTTTGTGTCGCTGTGTGTCGCTATGCGTCGATATGTGCGTGTGTCGATATATGTCTCTATATGTCGGTACGTGTCGACATGGGTCGCTATGTGCCGCTCCCCAGCACCCCGGCGCACCGCCCCCTGGCCCTCCGCCCCGACGACTTTATTGCGGCGTCGTCGTCGCCCCCCCCCCTCTCCCTCTCCTCAGCAGCCCAGCTCGCTGCACCCTCCGCCCCGACCACTTTATACCGACGTTGTGTCGACATGTGTCGCTATGTGTCGCTCCCCAGCACCCCAGCGCACCGCCCCCTCCGCCCCGACGACTTTATTTCGGCGTCGTCGTCGCCCCCCCCCCTCTCCCTCTCCTCAGCAGCCCAGCGCGCTGCCCCCTCCGCCCCGACCACTTTATTTCGGCGTCGTCGTCGCCCCCCCCCGGTCCTTTTCCCCAGCAGCCCAGCGCACCGCCCTCTCCGCCCCGACCACTTTATTTCGGCGTCGTCGTCGCCCTATTTCGGCGTTGTGTCGACATGTGTCGCTTTCCCCAGCAGCCCAGCGCACCGCCCTCTCCGCCCCGACCACTTTATTTCGGCGTCGTCGTCGCCATTTCGGCGTTGTGTCGACATGTGTCGCTATGCGTCGCTCCCCAGCACCCCAGCGCACCGCCCCCTCCGCCCCGACGAATTTCGGCTTCGGCGTCGTCGCCGCCCCCCCCCCTCTCCCTCTCCCCAGCAAGCCCAGCGCGCTGCCCCCTCCGCCCCGACCATTTTATTTCGGCGTCCGCGCCCCCCCCCCCTGTCGTTTTCCCCAGCAGCCCAGCGCGCCGCCCTCTCCGCCCCGACCACTTTATTGAATCGCTTCGCTCATTCCGCCGGCCCGTGATATGGCATCGCTGGTTTTTGTCTGTGTGTTCGTTGCCCATGTTGCGCTCTTGGGGGCGGGTGTCGTTCGGACGCGTTGCGTGGGGAGTTTTGATGGTGAAGCAGTTCCCTGGGGGTCGTCTCTCGATGGGGCGAAATAGAGTCGTCGTCAAGATGCTTCTTTGGGGGGCCTCTTGGGGTCTGTTGAGAGGCCGTTCGGGGGCGCCTGGGAGACATGTTTGAAGCCTTCTGGGGCTTCTTTTGGGCCTCCTGGGAGTCTCCTGGGGCCTCTTGGCGACATCTTGGGGCCTCTTGGAGGCCTCTTGGGGCCTCTTTGGGACCTCCTGGGCGCCTTCTGGGACGGAGGGCTCCATTTTTGAGTTCTCGGTATCCCTCCTGAGTCCCTCTTGGGCCCGTCTTGGGGCCTCTTGGTCCGTCTTGGGCGGCGCTTGGGCCGTCTTGAGGGCTCTCTTGGGTCGTTTCGGCGCCGTCTTGGGAGCTTCGTGGGCCGTCCTGGAGCGGTCTTGGGGGCCTCTTGGGCCGTCTTGGAGCGTCCGGAAGCCGAAAAAGCCAGAACACAAAAAACATCGAAAACAACAATGAAAATCAACGATTTTGGCTTCTTGGGGCTCTCTTCGGAGGCCTCTTGGAAGGCTCTTGGGGCGTCTTGGAGGCCTCTTGGGCTGTCTTGGGGGCCTTTTGGGCCGTCTTGGGGTCATCTTCGGCGTCTTCGAGCGCACTTTGGGCGTCTCGGGGGCCTCTTGGGCAGTCTTGGGGGCCTCTTGGGGCACTCTGAGCGCGCTCTGGGGAGCCTGAGAGGCCGCACCCAGAAGGAAAACCATCTCTGAGTAGACTTGGTCGGGCGGCGGTCGGGCGGCGGACGGGCGTTGGTCGGGGTACTTTTCGCCGGGGGACCCCCAGGGGC